TTCTGGTCCAGGTATGTCCTGCAAGGAATTCCAATAAGATGTCTGAACTGTGAAATTTATCATTGGGAAACAAATTCTCCCTCCAGCTGGCACCAGGTCAGCATTGTTTCCTTTACCCCATTATAGGATTCTTGGGGAGATTTTAATTATTTGGATATCATGGTTTGAATAATCAAATAGCCATACACACACACACACACACACACACACACACACACACACACACACACACATATATATATATTTTCTAGACAGGGTTTCTCTATGTAGCATTGGAGTCCATGCTGGAACTTGCCCTCTAGACCAGACTGTCCTAAAACTCACAGAGTTCCACCTGCCTATGCCTCCAAAGTACTAGGATTAAAGGTATATACAACCCTCTAGGAAAGAAATTCACTTTCTTTTCTTTCGTTTTCTTTCTTTCTTTCCCTCTTTCTCTCTTTCTTTCCTTCTTTCTTTCTTCCTCCCTCCCTCCCTTCCTTCCTCCCTCCCTCCCTCCCTCCCTCCCTCCCTTCCTTCCTTCCTTCCTTCCTTCCTTCCTTCCTTCCTTCCTTCCTTCCTTTCTTTCTTTCTTTTTTTTTTTAGACAGTGTTTCTCTGTGAAGCCCTGGATGTCCTGGAACTCACTGTGTAGACCACTTTGGACTTGAACTCATAGAGATCCACCTGCCTCTGTCTCCCAAGTGCTCAGATTAAAGAAGTAAGCCACACACATGCCTTTAATCCCAGCACTTGGGAGGCAGAGGCAGGCGGATCTCTGTGAGTTTGAGGCCAGCCTGGACTATCAAGTGAGTTCCAGGAAAGGCGCAAAGCTACACAGAGAAACCCTGTCTCAAAAAACCAAACCAAAACAAACGAAAAAAAAAGTAAGCCACCACTACACTGCCAGCCTTGTATATTTTTAGGCTCCCTCCTCTCCTAATAGTGTAATGCAATACATGACCCAAATCCAGGCACAGGGAGCAAGCAGAGGGACCTGATAGTTGAAATGTGGATGGAGGAGGATGAGGAAGTAACAAGGATGGGGATTCCTGGTATTTATTTACAGGGATTTATTCCTGGTATTTATTAGTAATAATATTTTTTCATAAAGAAATATATGTGTCAGCCTAGAGAAAGTTAAAGAAACAGAGAAAAAAATACTTTGGCAGTGTATGTTTCAAATACAGTGTAAATGGATATAATAACATCAAAGTACCTAGGCACTATTTCATGTCATATATAGTTCTGAAAGAGAAAATATATGTTATGTTTTATTAATTAAATATATTCACAATTTTTAAGTCAACAGTTTCTGTTGGGGTGTAAACACAATACTCCTTGCCTTCATGAGGCCAGTTCCTTACCTTCCTATTGGGATAAACAGTATTTTACCTATTCTCTTAGTTTAATAATAACCAATGGAACAAGTCCTGTCTACCTCATGACTTTTTGTTTCTTTTTTTTTTTCAAGACAGGGTTTCTCTGTGTAGCTTTGCGCCTTTCCTGGGACTCACTTGGTAGACCAGGCTGGCCTCGAACTCACAGTGATCTGCCTGGCTCTGCCTCCCGAGTGCTGGGATTAAAGGCGTGCGCCACCATCGCCCGGCTAATTTTTGTTTCTTAATAACACTCTGTTAAACACAGCCACGACCATCCATTCATCTACTGTCTAAAGCTGCCTTTATGCTACATTGGCACAGTCCAATCAACTGTGGCCAGGGAATAGGACTACCAACAAAGTCAGAATTAAATGTTCTCTGGCGTTCATAACTATGCATTGTGCAATCTTGGGATAAAGCTTTAGTATGCTATCTAGAATACCATCAAGCTTTGAAAAGAGATGTGGAACATTTGTGTATATAAACAGTTGTACTGGACTCTTAGCAAAGATTCAGTATTTTGTATGCTTTTGTGTCACTTTGTATTCATATAGCAAAGATGATGTTTATATCAAGAGTGATTGGATAGAGGATAGACAGACAAAAAGAAAAGATAAAAAACACAATGATGGGTGGGAATAAAAGTTGCAGCATAAAATACATGTTTCCTGGGGTACAGAGCAGATGGGTTATACCAGCAATTGTAACACCAAAAGTGAGGAGAATTGTTCCGCTGTACAGGAGCTCCAAGTGTTGAAAGTTCCTACTTGTGTGTTGATGACTTTTCCATTTCTATTTTTACAGGAGTCACTGTTCCCATGGCAACTGGGTGGCCAGAGGGTTGTGACTTGAAAGATTGGAGAAGATAAAGGAAAGAGAGTAGAGGGGAAATATGCACTAGCTCTTCTTTCAGACCTCAGACTAGAACTGCAGGACTTCCTGTGGTGCCCTCTCTGCACTTTATTGGGTTCCTAGCCTTTCATAACAAAAGAAAATTAATCACCAGCTCAGTAATACTTAAAAACACAGCATTCTTATTTGTTTTCATTTCTACTTTCTTTTTTGAGTCTTCAAATACCCCATATATTTGATTCATGTTACATAACAATATGGAACAACAGAGCTAGTACATATGTTCTACCTTTCCCACAAATTGAGACCTGGTAAATACTTGATTACTTTCAACTTTAGAAAAGAAAAAAAAAAGAACTAAATTTGTACTGGACAAATGCACATTTTTATTCTCAAACTATAAATTCAACCTGAGAGAAGCATTTCATATTTACAACTTTCACTTATTTTAGTGTACTCCGATTAGTATTGTGAATATAAATTTAACTATAATAATTCTGATTTCCCCTTATTTCTCTGAACAATGCTGCTTTTAATCTGAAATACTATCCAGTTGTAAAGTAATATTGCCTAGTTCACTATTTCTAATAAATTCACTGTAACACATTTACTAGCTGTGAAGATAGAGAACTGGCCTCTGGGATTATTGTTATATTTTCAATCTCTACAAAGTGTACACACTATCAATTTCTCTTTTAAATTGGTATATATTCACTGTTTATAGTAATGGGTATTACACAAATATTTTCATGCAAATATGTAATGTGTTTGTATATTCATCGTATCCTTCCTCCATACCTTCTATAGTCCCCTTTCTCCTTCCACTTCCAATTCGTTTCTACACTTCTAGAAGTAATATGCCTTCCAGTGAGAAATCACCCTGCATACTTAAGGATTAATAGAGGAAAAGCTCATTATTAAAAGGGGGAAAACATGTGACTAGCAGTAGCTAATGCCCAAGGAAGAGCTGAACTCCAATAGAAGATTTTACTAATTTATACATACCTTATTCTCATGCAGTTTACATATGCTATCATCCTTAAATCTCTTTTAGGATCCTGACCCAGTTTATATTTTAAACAATTCAAACAGAGACAAGAGACTGCAAGTCTGGTACCAACCACAGTTTACCCTCCCTTCTCTCCTTCTGCTCCTGCCCCCCACCTCTTTTGCACTCTCATCCCCACACATTCCTCAGAAAATGTAAGGCCTCCCATGGGAGTCAACAAAGCTTGGCATATCAAGTAAAGCCAGGACTAAGCTCCTTCCTGCTGCATTAAGTACGTGGGAGATAACCCACCACAGGGAACAGGTTCCAAACAGTCAGCTCATGTGCCAGAGACAGATCCTGTATCCACTGCTCGGTGACCCACAAACAGAACAAGCTACACAACTGTCACCCACATGCAGAGGGCTTAGGTTGGTCCCATGCATGCTCGCTAGCTGTGGGTCTAGAGTCTTTGAGCTCCCATGAGCTCCAATCAGCTGTCTCTATGTATTTCCCATTGTGATCTTAACCACCACTCCCCTTGCTTGTATAATCCCTCTTCTCTCTATTCAACTGGACTCCTGGAGCTTAGCACAGTACCTGGCCTTGGACATCTACATCTGCTTCCATTACTCACTGGACAAAGGTTCTGTGATGACAATTAGAGTAGTCATCCATCTGACCACAGGAGAAGGCCAATTCAGGCACCCTCTCCAAAACTACCAGGAGTTCTACATGAGGTCATTCCTGTGGACCTCCAGGAGTCTCCCTGATATGAGATGATTCTGTCTATCATGGATCTTGCTCTGTAGATCTGGCTGACCTCAACTCAGGAATTTGCCGATCTCTGCCTCCTGAGCGCTCTTTCTGTTTTGCTGTCAGCATAATGCTGTTTAATTCATTTTTAATTTTTTTTTAAATTTTACATTTCAACCACAATTCCCCCTCCCTCTCCTCATGTTACCCTGCCATCTCCCACTTTTAAATATGGCTGTATTATAACTTGAGATCAAGCATGAGGATATTTATAGCATTGTTATTAAAGTTCAGGATTGCTCTGGTTGTTAAGGGTCTTGTGTGCTTCTGTAGGAATTATAGCATTTAATTTCAACTTCTGTGAAGAATATCGTTTAAATTTTGATGGAAATTGCACTGTCTATAGATTGCCTTTTTTGTGGTTTAGCTCTTTTTATAATATTAGTTATTCTAATGAATGAACACGAGGATATATCCATCAATTTCGTTCTTTGAGATTTAAAGTTTTTAATAACAGCAGTACTTAATTTCCTTAGTTATGTGTATTCCCAGATTAATTTAAGCAAGTGTTTCTCAACCCATTGTTCACAACCATTTTGGGCATTAAACAATCCTTTCACAGTGGTCAATAAGACTATCAGAATACACAGGTATGTATACTATGATTCATAACAGTAGCAAAATTGCGAATGTGAAGTGGCAACAAAAATAATTTTATTGTTGGTGGTCACCACAACAAGAGGAAGTGTATTAAAGGGTCAGAGCAATAGGAGATGGGGAAACTTTGATTTAGTTATTATGATTGGGATTACTTTATTAATTATTTTATTTTTTCCATTTCTCTTCTCTTAATTTCTGCTCCAATTTTTATCATTAATTTCCATCTATTTATGTTGCTTTTTCTGGTTCTTGTGTTTCTACAGGTATAACATACATTGTCAAGATGCTGAATATTGTCCTGTACTACAATGCATTTAGTATCCTCCCCTGTTGTCTCCACAACCAAACTCTATTTGTTTTGATGCTTATTTCCTTTCTTCACAGAACCCCACACTGAGGAGAACCTTAAGCTTCAGTGCTCATCATCTCTTTTCTCAGATTTCTTCTATAGAGTGTTGACTACTTAGAGGTAATCCTAGTACTATGCTGATGCTCCAATTGATGGCTTCCTATAGATTATACCAAATACATTAGGATATTATGTGTATTTTCCACATTTGACTCTTCATCTTTCTCATTTCCTATATCTCTTATTTTCCTCTTTCCTTGTCTTTCTTGGTTTTCCTCTCTTTGCTGCATGCTGCGTCTTAAACTACAAAGATCACAGGTCTCAACACTATCTGCGTAAAGGCCTAGTCCATACCTTACAAAGAGTCCACAGCCAAGAAATGAAATGAAGAGCCTAGTAGAGCAGTCCTTAAGGAGTTTATGCCCATACTAGCATGAAAGTATTATTTTTGGACCCTAGCAGTGGCTGTCTAGATGGCTACCTCAATTACCAACTCATACAACATTTCAATCTCCTGTTTTTTGAGGTATAGCATTCAAGAACATCCTCTGACATTCAGAATCCCTGTAGGACTAGGATGATCCTGTCTGTGGAGTGAATAATTACCTATAGTAAAAGCTATGCAGGAAATGGCCTGATGGAAAGGCTGTTGTGACACAACTGACCTTTTGACTTCATCTTCATATATAATCATTCTGCCCTAGAGTCTTTCTGGACAAGAGGTAAGAACGTTTTCTGTAATCTGCCTACAGCTACTAACCATATTAGGTGACACACTGAGAATGCATTCACATGAGACATAATTTGTTTGCACAGGGTGAATCTCCTAGCATGACTTCCTTATGGGTTTTAATGAATGTATGTGAGAGGGCAAGGGCTTGGGTATCCCCTCTGGTCTTCAGTGAATCTGAATATCTCACTTTTGTGGACTCCTTGGACTCCCTCCACACAATGTCAGGAATTATACCCAGTATAAAGAGTACGGAAAAAATTCTACCACTAAGCTACAAAAATAGTCATCATTAACCTAATTTATAACATATAGATCAGGGTACTTGAAAATGGCATAAACAGAGACATTGTGTGTTTTCTTTCCATAAAATTCAGCAAAATTTAGCCAAGTATCCTTTCACTTTACCTTCACTGTGCAAATGAAGGCTTTTGAAAAGAATCCCTGTATGCAGAGACTGGTTGGTTGATTAGAATTTCAGTACTGTGGAGACATTGAAATGTTGCAGGTCCAGGGACTAGTTATCTTATCTTAGGCTAATATCAGCCTTCCAGAACAGGCATTTCTTGACCAAGTTGTGTTAGAACTAATAGATTGCCACTAACAAATTAAAAACAAAACAAAACATAAAATCTTTCAGAGTCTGTTAAATTGTCAGTCAACTAAATTCTACCAGTCCAAAAATTAATAATGTCATCAGATAGCATGTTACACCTACAGAAAAATCTTCCCCATTTTGATGTATCTGTCTCTCTGATGTAACTCCCATTGTATTTTAAATTTGCCTTGATTTATGACCTTTTTCTGTATGAAATATATAAAAAAACCTTCTTGGAACTGCTTCCATTTTGGAAATGGAATGTGAAATAAACCTAAATTTATGTTTATAAATCATGGTTGGTCGTTCAGAATGGATCCAGAATAAACTACATTTACTCTTTAAGAAAAGAGCTATGGGTTTTGCATTCACACTTGTCAGTAATTAAGATAGTACTAATGAAACTCATCTGCAATTCTACTTTTAATTTATCCTCTGTCATTAATAACTTTGATTCCACTGTCACCTTACTTCTGTAGGAGGCAGACTGCTCATCATGGAGTCCACCATGTTGTTCCTTGTGCCACACTACTGCATAGTTCTTAGTTTACTTGCTGAACTTTTAAGCTACAAGGGCAGGGGAGTACATTGGGTGATTGTGTTTCCTAAGTCTGAGTGATGTATCTATAAGTAGAATTTAGGTTCTCAGTTAATAGTTAAAAGGTGGATCTAAAACAAGTGATAAGACTTTGGAAAGCACATCTTCCAGGCCTTCTCAAACAGATAGTCTGGATGCTTAAGTCTGTTATGAGAGAGTACAGAGGTATCTCTGATAAGATACTTTCTTCCATCCAGGGTTGGTCCTGGCCAAAATGCTGATGATGATGATTATGACAAAAAGGCCTGAAATTAGGGATCCTGGCTGCATTACTGCACAGGAGGTTATCTAAATATTTCATTAGAAGAAGGGACAGACTAACCAATGAACTATTGAAAAGCTATATAACACACAAGAAATTCATAGTAGGAAATGGCTAATAATCAAAAGCTATTATCACCAAGACTCCTTGAGCCTCAGCTTACCACTTGAAGACCCTTGGCTTCTTCCAGGTATTAGCTTGTCATAATTAGCTGAAATCTTACTGCTGTAGCTTGCAGCAGTAGAAAATAATCTGGAAATTTGGATCCTTCTGCCTCCATATCCTGGGTGCTGTTATTACAGGTATGCACCTCCATACTCTGTATTATAAGATGCTGAGAATGGAACCTGGAATATCTTAGTTGAGTACTTGGCTGAGTTTCTTCACAAGTCCTTTGTAACAGTGTCATATATTGAACATCAGTCCTTGACTTAGACTCTGCAGCACCCACTGTCCCAATCAGAGCCCATTTTGAAAACCATTATTCCTGCAGAAAACTGCAGCCTATGTTCTGCATGTACTCTGGGACATAAGAAATGAGGCCTCAGTGGGTTTGGTGGTGCATGCCTTTAATCCCAGCACTGAGGGAGACAGTAGCATGTGGAGGGCCCCAGTTTTCTCTGCTCTGAAGTGCTGGAAAAGGCAGGCTACATCCTATCCTGGTTTTCATTTCTGTGTCACTGGAAAGGGACTTATTATATTTTCTAAATTTTTTACTTACCTTCAAAATTTCAGCATTTATTTGTTAGTTTTTTTGGGGAGCTTGGTAGTTTCTTTTTTCTTTGGTAGTTTGAAACCAAGTCTTACACTGTAGTTTAGGCTAGCCTCATACACAATACTCCTGCCATATTCAACACTCTGTTTTGGTATCACCTATATGTACCGCATTGATAGTCAGTATTACTGTTTTAATACATGGACTTATATTTACCCTCACTAGAATGTACACATGTGCAATGCAAATTTGAAAATATTCAAAGTCAGGCAATTGGGGCCCACACCTATTATCATGCTTCTGGGAAGTGTAGTTAAGAGTATCTGGAGGTCAGAGCCAGCTACTGAGACTCTGTCTTATATAACTGTTCCAGGTGTAGCATGTCTTTAATCCCAGTACTTCAGAAGCAGAGACAGGTAGATATCTATGAGTTTCAAGCCAGGCTGGATTACAGATTAAGTTCCAGGCTAACAAGACTATTGATGTAACCAACCGTCTTATTAAATAAGAAACACAGAAACAATGTAAAGGAGAAAGCCGAGAGGTCAGAGCTCAGAGCTATAATCTCACC